GTTTCTCAGTGACTCAGCAAATCCACCTCCAGCAGCCAGCAATGGGAAGTGAAAAGCTTGGTCCACCCAGACCCTTGTGCACACGCTCCCTGTGGGCTCCAACAACAGCCATGGCGGGGGAGTGATGGACATCGGCCCACGTGGGGCACCAGCGTGGCTTATTTATCCCCAGAAGGAGCATTACTCAGCTGTGAACAGGAGCAACGCTCTGATGCCCAGTGTGGAGGGCAGACTCCGGGCTGCTTTCCTCTCTCTCCCTGGGCGGCTCCTGCTTCCTGTCTACCGCCAGAGTTGACCTACAGTTTGTCTTGTGTGGTGGGACCAGGGCTGTGGGGTCCCAGTGTCCACCCGGGGTTACCATACCCCTGCTCTGAGGGTCCCCCATGGCCCCCAGAACAGCTGCTGAGCTGTCTGAGGGGAGGGAGTGTGGCCCAGGCCCTCCAGGCCTGCAGGCCGCATGCCTGTCCCCACCAGGACATGTGGCCAGCTGGTTGTGTCCCCCACAGGCAGGAGTCCTGGTCATCGTTCCTGCTGTCTCCAGCCTGGGCTTCAAGACACCCCCCACTCCCTCCCAAAAAAATGGGGCGGGAGCTCAGTGGGCAGGGCGCTCTCCCAGCATGCATCTGGCTCTGTGCTCCGTCCTCAGCATCAGGTAAACAAGGTGAGGTGGTCTGTCACCCCAGAACTGCAAGTTTAAGATGATCACTCTCTGGGGGGCTGGAGAGATGGCTCAGAGGTTAAGAGCACTGGCTGCTCTTCCAGAGTCCTGAGTTCAATTCCCAGCAACCACATGGTGGCTTACAGCCATCTGTAATGAGATCTGGCGCCCTCTTCTGTTGTGCAGACATATAGAACACTGTATACATAATAAATGTAAAAAGAAATCATTCTCTGCTAAATAGTGAGTTTGAGGCTAGCCTGGGCTACGTCAAACAAAAACAAAAACAAAACACAAGGAGGGAACTGAGAAGAGTAAGAAACTGGGTTAAAACATCAGAATAGAAAATTTCTATTCATGATGTCAAACTGGGAACAGACAGACTTGATAACAGAAAATTAAAACTTGCTGGTAGTCAGTAGCTGCCAAAAGAGCAATGTAATGCACCCTGGCGTCACAGAAGAAAGAGAAGGGTCCACAATATACAAAGAGCTCCTGCAGACCAACAAAGTGTCACACAACTGGAAGCGGAAAAGATGCAGTTTCCAGAAAACGAGGCCACAGTTGTGACTGGCGCAGGACCCAGAGGCAGGCGTATCTGAGGTGAGCCAGGAAAATGGCCAGTGAGGGTGACTGGACCACTGTGGCAAACCCTCCAGACAAAACACAAAACCAGCTCATGGGGTTAGGCTGGGTGGCCACGGCTGGGCCCCTGCACGCACCCAGCCCACGAGCCCTCCTCACCGCAGGCCCGGCTCTCTGAGCTGGGTTAACAACCATGTGCTGAACCCCCGGGACCCCAGCACCCTCAGGACCAGGCTAGTGGCCAGATCCAAAGCTTGCTCAGCCCGCATGCCGAGCCTCGCCTCCACGCTGTGCCCTGCCGCTGCAGGCTGGGGATTGCATGCGCCCTGCATCCCACTCCCCTGCACCGACACGGATGGACACACAGCCACCAGGTACAGGGGTGCCGCTTGCCCCAACACCACAAGAGCAGGAACCCAGCAACTGACTGCTGGTCCACGCAAGCCCACCCGAGCCCTCGACCGTCTTTGTACTCCTGTGCACCCACCACACTGCTCTCAAAGGACGCAGCTGCCATGACCAACGCTGGTGTGGCCACAATGGAGCCCAGGTTGCCAAATCCCGGACCCCAGACCTGCAGCTCAGGCAGCTCGGAGCTCTGGGCCAGCTGGTCCCAAATCCTCTGGGGCCCTGTGTCCTCCTATATGCAAGAGTTCCAGGCCAGTCCCAGCCATTGGAGGCCCAGCGAGGACCCTGGTCACCACTGCAGCCCCAGTCAACCTGGCACAAAGTGCGCTCCTCAAGACAGGTCAGTACTGGGCCAGCAAGGTGGCTCGTGGTGAGGGAGCTTGCTGCCAAGCCTGACGACCAACAAGGTAGGAGGAGAGGACTCACTGCTGCGAGCACGTAGCCCAGGCTGGCCTTCATTCCTGACCCTCCGGCCTCCGCCTCCCTAGTGCTGGGATGACAGGTGAGCTCCTCCACACCTGGTTTATGCGGCGCTGCAGAGGAACCGGCGGCTCTGCTCACCAGTGCCTTCCTGGGCAGCTGCTTCTCCTTCAGGTCCTGCCTTGATGGACTGCCTGCCCCTCTCTACCTGCTTCCAGAGTCTCAGCAGACTCTTCCCGGGATCTCTACCTGCTTCCAGAGTCTCAGCAGACTCTTCCCGGGATCTCTACCTGCTTCCAGAGTCTCAGCAGACTCTTCCCAGGAAGCCCTGGGATCTGTGCAGCCAGCAGCCCCAACTGCGGCTGCTGGGCCCTGCAACTGCACAGGGAGGGAGGCAGCCTGTGGGGAGATGAGCATGCTCACATGCTGACAAAACTTTATCGACAAAAGCTAGCATGGGGGCCGCAACTAGTCCAGTCCGGGCCCCTGGCCTCATCCTGGCCCTGTGACATCAGCATGCTGATCCCAGCAGCCTAATCAAGGAAGGGCCCCAGAGTCTCTCTCCATCAGGCGGATGGAGGCAGCAGCCATCCAACTGCAGGACCTCACAGGACACCTAGGGCCAGAGCTGACTGAACCTTTTGTCTCCAAGGTCATCAATCCCCATCCTGACGTCAAGGTCGGCCCCTTCCCGCCACACCTGGCAGCCGCAGTGACCTGTTGAATGCCGCCACCCTGTCCTGGTGCTGTGCTGCCAAGGGGCAGGGGGAGCACTGAGTGAGGGGCGGGGCGGGGAGGCGGTCTGGGCAGGGCTGTGGGCAGGGGGAGGGCATTGAGCCAGTTTCTGTGGGGCTTCTTCTGGACCCACGAAGCTGGACCGGGTGGAGGCGGAGCGTGGGAGAGCCTCGGGCAGACTCGGGTGATTTTAGAAGCAATGCTGACATAATCCACCGCCTGTTTAGAGGGGGATGAGGCAGTGGCAGGTTGGGAAGGATGAAGTTTAGGAACAGGCTCACGCCACAGCCCAGGCAGGTCACCAGCCTAGGTGTCCTAAGTACTCAGCCTTCCCCAGCCATTCCACGTGCCCACAAACCACACAGGGCCCCGGCAGCCACAGGGAGAGGTGAGGCAGGCCAGTTTGGGGCCAGACCTCTGCAGCAAGGAGTCCTTAATATAACTGGGTTCTAAACAGCACAGAGATAGCAACATCCCACCAGATTGACGGAAATTACTAGAGCAGATAGCAGGCTGGCTGGCCAGGCAACAGGGGAGGCAGGCACCGGGGCACCCAGCCTTTCCAGGAAGAACACTGGGACGCCCACGTGTTCACGCACTTCATAGACAGAAGCCACCAGAACGGTCACAGCACAGGGCTGTGGTACTTGTGCAGGCAGGTATGCAGTTGGTGATCAATAAATGCTAACACAACCAGCAACACCGACTCCTTTAGGGAGGTCAGGGTGCAGTGCTCCCCGCCTTACAGCTGAACCGGAGGGAGGGACCCACACACAGCTGCCACGGGATTCTGTGTGGATGATTAACTGAACAGAACTCCAGGCGGGGAGAAGGGCTTCCAGGAGGACAGCCCGAGGGTCTGGAGTCAGGTGTGTTCAGAGTTCAGTGACAGACTGGTCGAAGCTCCAGCCAGCTCATCAGTCCCCGGGCAGGATGACCAAGGCTCCGTGGGGAGGAATGTCTGTCCTGAGGGTACCGCACCGACCTCAAGGTGGACGGAGAGGAAGGGAGAGGAAGGGACCCTGCGGTCCCCGCGCAGCTCCTGGCAAGGGACACCAGGTGCCGGCGGGGAAGGGGGGGGGCAGGTTCCCTGCCACCAGGTTCCAGATGGCACAGAGGAAGGTGTGGAGAGCCTGGCTTTCTGGCTCCTCCCCCACCGCTGGTGTCCAATAAGGGCAGCTGAGAAGACCCTTGGATGGCGTGGGGCCACAGGGCCCTAACTGCAGCGGTCAGCCCTGGGATACGGCTGGAGGAGCCTCGGGCTCCGTGAACCCTGCAAGTTCCCATGACCTCGATGGGGAAGAGAGCGCTCGGTTCTCTCAGCTGTGCATACGGCCCCGCCTGCCGAGTGCACACCCGGAGAGGCTGCTCGTGACAGAAAGGGGACTCAGGAAGCTGGGTGGCAGACAGGGCCCAGGGAGCAGAGTCGGGGAGCTTGGGGGTTGACAGGACATTGGCTCACACAGCCGGAATGGAGAAATCGTCTCAACATCATTCCTTTGCTCCCCACCCGTTTTTGAGAGAGGGAAACTGAGGCCCACAAACGGGTGACTGGTGGTGTGTAGCAGGGAGGCACCAGAAGGTGACACTTGCAACATTGACAGCCCAGCATGGTGGGCCCAGTAAGGGGTCGCACGGAGGACATTCTCGCCCTTCCTAGCCTGGCTGGGCCCGCAGGTGGGGTCCCCTCTCTAGAATAGGGTGCCCCAGCGTCCCACGCACTGTGGAGAAAACACTCTGCACACACCCGAAGACGTGGGTGCGCTTGGTCTGTCTCCATCACCTGCAGCAAGAGGGCTCCCCCAAACGGGTCGGTCCCCTTTACCTCCCAACCCGAGGACCCCCAGGCTCGCTACCGCATGCATCTAAACGGGACTCGCACCCTCCACAGGCCGCCAAGAAAAAGAGCCGCACCCACGCCCGCCTGCGAATCGACCGTGCTGCCCGAGGACCCTGAAAGGGGCAGAGCGCTGAGAGCCCGGTACTCCCGGGCGGGGCAGTACAGCCTCCCCGGCCTGAGCGCCGACTCCCCCCGCACACGGGGTGGGAGGGCGCGCGCACCCCCGCGCCGCGCGTGCGAATGGCACAGCCTGCGGGCCGCAGCGCCGCGCAGAGCGGGCGGGCGGGCGAGACCACTGCGCCGCGGCGGGGGGGCCGGGCGAGCCCATCGCGCCCACGGGGGTGCCGGACTCACCTGCCTCCGCCCCGCTCTCGGAAGACCAGGCCGCCTCCGCCGTCACGGCCCCCGCTTCGGCGCTCTCCGCCTCGTCCGGCACCTCCAGCTCCATGGCCAAGCGCTCCGGCGGCGGCGGCGGGCCCGAGGATGCACCCGAGCTCGGCCGCCGCCGCTGAACAACAAGCGCCGCCGGCACCACAGGGCGGAGGGAGGGGCGCCGGCGCGGGGGCGGGGTCTGGGCGGGGCCTTGGCGTTGACGCGGACAGCCTAGCCAATCAGAAACAGGGACGGGGCTTAGAGCCGAGCCCACTCGGCAGAGTCGCGAGCGCCCTCAGGCGTCCGGAGCCGGAAGGACTCGTGTTCACGTGCAATTCCGAGGGCAGAAGGAGAAACGTCAGTGGGCGGGATCTGACCAATCAGAGATCAGGGGCGAGGCTAAGACGAAGTACGACTCACTAGCGCTCCCAAGTGTCCATAGAAGGAAGAACAGGGGGCTGGAGAGACGGCTCAGAGGTTAAGAGCACTGGCTGCTCTTCCAGAGGTCCTGAGTTTAATTCCCAGCAACCATATGGTGGCTCACAACCATCTGTAATGAGATCTGCTGTCCTCTTCTGATATGCAGGCAGAACACTGAATACATAATAAGTAAATCTTTAAAGAAAAAAAAGAACAGAGCAGCTCGCAAAGATATGGACGAATCCTTGGGACATCACAGGAAGGAATTAGGTCATGAGTGATCAATCAAGTGGAAGCATTTGCAAATTAAAAAAGAAAACAAACCTGGGGCTGGATAAGCGGCTCAGAGGTTAAGAGCACTGGCTGCTCTTCCAGAGGACCAGGACCACATGGAGCTCATAACTGCCTGTAACTCCATCCAGTTCCAGAGGATCCGACATGACCACACAGACATATATGAAGGGAAAAAACCAATTCATATAAATAAATTATTATTATTATTATTTTGGGTTTTCTCTGCGTACCTTTGAAGCCTGCCCTGGAACTAGTTCTGTAGATCAGGCTGGCTCGAACTCACAGAAATCTACCTGTCTCTGCCTCTGGAGTGCTGGGATTAAAGGTGTGTGCCACCACCGCCTGGCAAATTCATATAAATAAATTATTTTTTAAAAAACCTGAAACTGGAAAGTCACAAGGGGACAGAGAGACACGATCTAGAGATAGGGAAGTAAATACTTATATAATGATAAAGTCTCAGGTATGGCTCAGGGTGGAGCCCTTCCTAGACTGCCCCAGTGAGGGGTTGGGGGTGTGGTCAGGGTGGAGCCCCACCTAGAATCCCCAGTGAGGGGTTGGGGGTGTGGTCAGGGTGGAGCCCCGCCTAGAATCCCCAGTGAGGGGTTGGGGGTGTGGTCAGGGTGGAGCCCCGCCTAGAGTCCCCAGTGAGGGGTTGGGGGTGTGGTCAGGGTGGAGCCCCGCCTAGAGTCCCCAGTGAGGGGTTGGGGGTGGGTCAGGGTGCAGCTCCTCCTAGAGTCCCCAGTGAGGGGCTGTGGGCGTGGCTCAGCTGTGAGTCCCTGATGTGTCCGGTGTCACCCCCTGCAATGACAGCAGGAAGTCTGACAGCGGGTGGGTTGCACTAGGAGCACTGTCCGTCCATCCATCCCTAGGTGCGCCCAGTGTTCTCTCATCACCTACTCTGTGGCCCCGTGGGTGCTGTGGGGCGCACGCCTGGGTAGGCCTCTGGGTGCTCAGGGGTTAAGTCCTGTCCTGCCACGTGAGAGTACCTTGCGACAGAGCCGCTGGCCTCTCACCTGTGGGCCGGGCTCTGGGACTCACTCACCATTGCGCAGAGTCTTGCGGGTTCCACCCGGCGAAGGGGCGCGCCCGCGTCGTCTCCATTGCACCAGGGCGCCGCGGAGAGCACGGGTCGTCTGGCCTGAGCTTGGGTCTGGTCCCCACCACCCATGCCAGACGGGCACCCAGGACCCAGCTGCCACCGCCCGCCCTGCCTCCACTGAGCCTTCCAGACGGGTAGGTCTCCAGCTGAGCTCCCCCGAGGGTGCTGTGCATCCAAGTGGCCCAGTCTCGGGCTCCCTCCCGGGACCCCCAAGGTGGTTCTGCGTGCTCCCCGGGGAGCCGGAAGCCGCCGTCCTGCGTGGGCATCTGACACAGTTTCTGCGCTGGCACGGTGCCCGGGACGCCGCAGCCAAGCCTTCAAAGGGTCATTGTGAGCGCAGGTGCTCCCGCCGCTCCCCAGCCTGGTCCCCACGGGCAGCCGCTGACCGTGTGGGGAGATGGTGGGGAACAGCTAGGCTAAGTCTCAGTTCGTCCAGAGCGCGCCCAAAGAGCCACCCCGACTTCCTAAGGCAAAGGCGCACGCCTTGCCAGGGCCTGCGTTGGGGGACGCAGACCCGAGAGGGTGAGGCGCAGGGCAGCCGGGGAAAGAAGGGGGCGCCAGGAACTGCTTCTGGGTCATTTGCCCCTAAACAAGGAAGAAGCAAGACAACTCCCCAAGGAAGGTGTGTCCAGCCACCAGAGGCGCAGGCTGGGCCGCAGGGTGGACTTGGCGTTCGGACTTGAAGCTGTCAGCCCTTGCGATGTTAGCCCAGCCTCAGTTTCTCACTGTGCCACAGACCAGCCGAGGCCGCAGTAACCCACGCTGGGGCAGGCAGGTCACCGGGTGGCAGACAAAGAACCGAGGCCAGAGAGGGTCGCCACTTTCCGGGTGATGCGCAGCTGAGTAAGACCGCCCAGAGCCAGGCCTCTGAGTGACCCCAAGACATCTGAAAAGTCCCTGCCCGTCGGGGCTGGAACTTCCGTGTGGCCCGCCGCTGGGGAAAGTCCGTGCGGAGATTTGGGCTCGGCCTGCCTCTGGGGCCTGGCGGGGCGCCAGTGTTTGCTCAGGGTAGGACCCGGCCCCTTGGCGTGGCCGAGGCCAGTGGGGCGCACGGGTCGGGCGCCGGCCTTGTCACTTTCTCGGAGCCAGGCTCAGGAACTCGTTTGTCTTCCGTGTATTTATTTGGGAGCAAAGACTCGTTTGTCTTCCGTGTAGTCTTGGCCTCACGCGGCTGCTGCGTCTCCACAAGCAGCCAAGGATAACCTTGAACTCCTGGCTCTGCCTCCTCCACTCTGAGCGCTGGAATGAGGGGTGTGCAGGGCGCGTTGTGGGCGCGGGAGGAGTTGCCCCCAGTGAGGTCCCGGCGGCGACAGGCGGGGCAGGGGAGGAGGGGGCGGTGGGGACTGGCTAGCCACTGGGGCTTGGGTCCCAGGCAGGTGGGAGCCATGAAGGACTCCTCAAAGGGGGGCTGGCGCCCCCTGGTGGCCGGCGAGGGCGTGGCTGTGGCGCCCCCTGGTGGCCGGCGAGGGCGTGGCTGTGGCGCCCCCTGGTGGCCGGCGAGGGCGTGGCTGTGGCGCCCCCTGGTGGCCGGCGAGGGCGTGGCTGTGGGGAAGGAGCAGGTGGCGGTGTCGCACTGACAGGGGCAGGGCAGGCGGGGCGGGAAAGTTGGCAGGACATTACGGGCAGAGACCCTGCCCAGAGGTTGAATGTTGCTCGGGTCCGTAAGCTGGGGACTCCGCGGCTCAGGTGCTCGCTCCCGGGTCCCCTGTCCCCAAGGGGCTTTCGTCCTGCGCCCCAAGCACGCGCTCTTTGGAATGAGACTCGGCAAACAGTAGGCACTCCATAGGTGCACACACAGCCCCTGGAGGGCACCACAGGCTTTCGACGCAGGGGGTGGCGCAAGGTGTGATGGCACAGACTGAGTGACCCCCACCCCCAGGTCTACACGGTGAGCTCTGGGCCAGCCTGGTCTACACGGTGAGCCCAGAAGCTGTGTGGAGCCCCAGGCACTGTTTGATGACTCTCTTGGGAGGGGACAGGGACACCAGACACCACTCCAGTCCCAGATGCAGGAGACCAGGCCGCTCGGGCTAGCCTAGTCAGAACCGGAGCCTTGCTTTACAGAAGGGAAACTGAGGCGACGGAGGCCCAGGCTCGCAGCCGGAAGCTCGCAGGGTCCCTGGGGACTCCCCTGGGTGCTTGGCTGCCTTGGGCCCGCACCGGCTCCTGGGTCGCCCAGCGCCCTCGGCAGGGGCGTGCCGCCAGCTCTGAGCGGGCGCCATGACGGCGGTGTAGACCGGTGTAGACGGCGACCCGGCCTCGCGCCCCCCAGCCCCTCCCCCGCTCTCCGCGAGCACACGCCCAGGTCAGGGGGCGGGCCTTCCGAGGCACGGGGACCTCTGCGAGCTCCAGGGCAGCCTGGGCTACAGTGGCACCCTGTCCGGAAGCCACAGAATCCGCTCCCAGGGACCCAGCGTCGGAAACAGGGGCAGCTGTCGCCGCATTTCCAGACAGGGAAACCGAGGCACAGGCCACTCGGGCCCCTTAGCACAGGATGAAGCTCGGGCCGGAGGCTTCGGTGTAGCCCAGGCTGCCCCAGAGAAGGGTTTCCCGAGGCCACAGCTCCCTCAGCCGGGCGTGTCGGAAGGAATGCCCCGTTTGCCCCTTGCCCCCGGGCCGGCTAGGGTGGGGCTCAGGCTCCTAGCAGGTGAGAACTGCATGGGGGAGCCGGCGCTAGCCCCGCCCACCGGCGTGCCGCGTGCTTGCCTGACCGGTCCTTCCTGCAGCTAACCCTCAGTCCCAGGCCCCTGAGGATGGGGGGGGGGGAACCCGGCCGGGCCAGGAATCCGAGGAGGTTCTCTTGGGGAGCTTTTTTCTGAGTGTGTGTGTCACTGTAGACCAGGCTAGCCCGGGTTCACTCTGTAACCCAGGCTGCACCAGTCTCCACCTGTCAGGCGTCGTGCAATTCCCACAGAGGCCGGGAGGGAGTGGCGTTCCAGAGCCGCCGAGTGGACAGTAAATGCACCAAGCAGGTTGGGAGAGCGTCCCTGCAAACTCTTTTTTTTTAAGATTTATTTATTTATTATGTACACAGTGTTCTGCCTCCATGTATCTCTGCAGGCCACAAGAGGGCACCAGATCTCATTACAGAAGGTTGTGAGCCATCATGTGGTTGCTGGGAATTGAACTCAGGACCTCTGGAAGAGCAGCCAGTGCTCTCAACCTCTGAGCCATCTCTCCAGCCCCCCTGCAAACTCTTTTTGTTGTTGTTTCTCTATGTAGTCCTGGTTGTCCTGGAACTCGCTCTGTAGACCAGGCTGGCCTCGAACTCACAGAGATCCTCCTGCCTCTGCCTCCCGACATCTGGGATTGGAGGTTTGCACCACCAACGCCAGGCTTTTCTTTTCTTTCTTTTTTTTTTTTTTTGCTTTCCCCCCTCAAACCCTTAACCCACCCTCCACGCCCCTGCCGCCGCACGCAGGCCTCTTCGCCTCCTCCTTACCCCTCGCGAAGCTCCCCCACCACGGGCCTCCCGGGTGGACAGCGACCACGGGTGGGAAACATCGGTGCGGAGCCGTCCCGGGCCTGAGTCCCGCCCGCGTTTTCCGGGCAGCCCCGCCCGTCCGCTCAGCCCCGGCCAGGGATTCAGCCGAGCTGCGAAGAAAGCGGGTACCGAGGGCGCGTGCGGGAGCGGGGCGGAGGGCGGAGCTCGCCGGGGCGTGGCCGGGCTCGCCGGGGCGGGGAGTGACTCGCCTGGGCGTGGCGGGGCTCGCCGGGGCGGGGAGTGGCTCGCCGGGGCGGGGAGTGGCTCGCCGGGGGCGTGGCGGGGCTCGCCGGGCGTGGCCGGGCTCGGGGCGGGGAGTGGCTCGCCGGGGCGGGGAGTGACTCGCCGGGGCGTGGCCGGGCTCGCCGGGGCGGGGAGTGGCTCGCTGGGGCGGGGCCGGGCTCGCCTGGGCGTGGCGGGGCTCGCCGGGGGCGTGGCGGGGCTCGCCGGGGCGTGGCCGGGCTCGGGGCGGGGAGTGGCTCGCCGGGGCGGGGAGTGGCTCGCCGGGGCGTGGCCGGGCTCGCCGCCCGCCCGCCCGCCCGCCCGGACGAGGAAGAGCAGGTGCCCGGAGCGCGGCCCCGACCCCGCGGCGACCCCGCTCACCCCGCGTGCGGGCGGACGGGCTCCCGGCGGGGCCGCGGGCTGACGGCTGCCGGACCCCGCGCTGGGACCATGGCGGTGAGATTCCAGGCGAGTAGCCGGGAGCGCGGGGCGGGCGGGCGGGCGACCCAGGCTTCCCGACCGCGTCTGCCTGGGGCCGCACGGACAGTCAGTCTGGGGTCTCGTCCCCAAGAGCCCGAGTTCGAATCCCAGCGCGCCACAGACCCGCTCGTGCGCGATCTGCTTAGTTCTCATCTTGACCGCGGGCGTTTACGGAGCGCCTACTGTGTGCAAAGGCTGTTAGGAGCCTGGCGGATGCGGCGGACGACGCTGCGGAACTTTCCCTCCACACCCCAGAGGGGTAAACTGAGGCTGTGGCTTTGCGTTTGCCTAGGAGGAATGACTTCCCCAGGCCCCGCCCCGGCCCCGGCCTCACCGCCCCCCCCCCGGACGCCTCGGCCCTCCGGGTCCCCTCGGGCTGCGGTCCCCTCGGGCTGTTCGCGTCTGCAGGTGGCAGGGGCGGGGCCGGGCGCTCACCCGCGGGGCGGGGCTGAGGGTCCGGGAGCGAGCGGGTTCAGACCGCTCTGCTCTGGTTTTCAAGCACTCCCGCCCTAAGCCTGCGAACCCTGAGCGCCCGGAGTCGGGGATCCGTGGAGGAGACGAGATTGGGTTGTGACACCCCAGACCCCAGGGAAGCAGAGGACAAGCCCGTAGCCTGGGGCTCTGCAGGCCGAATAGGAGTTTGCCAATGGCTGTAGTTTGCCGAGGCTTCGCGACGGCTAGGTCCCGGGTTCCCAGGCCCTGCGGAGAAACGGGAGGAGCGGGATCAGGTTAATCCGCGGCCCTGGGGGCCCGGGAGGGTTTTAGACCAGCCCGCCCCAGCGGGGACGAGCTGGGCAGGTCGGGGCAGGCCCGGCCGCCTGCGTCCCCTCCCCCAGGGGCCCTGGCTCCCCCGGCGCCTTTTATCTCAGAGGAGGGAGAAGAAATGAAATTCCACAGTGGGGGCGGCTACGGGAAGTCTCTGCCCGGGTGAGCGGCGCCGCCGCCACCTCGGGTTTGGCGCTGACCGAGACGCCCCGCCCCCAGAGCAAACCTAGGCCCGCGGGAACTGGGGGTCACACCGCGGCGGGGAGGGCGGGGCAGCTGGGGTCTCGCTAGGAGAAGCCCCGAGGGCGTCGGCCCGGGAGGGTCAGGGCGAGGCTGCGCGGCGAGCGCCGCCCCCTGCGGCGTGCGAGCCTGCTGTCCCCGCAGGTGGCGGGCATGGAGGAGCTGACCGTCTGGGAGCAGCGCACCGCCACGCTGTGCAAGGTGAGCCGCGGGCTGCCCCGAGGGCGGAGCCCCGAGGGCCGAGCCCCTGCCGCCGTGTGACCCCGCGCCGCCCCCTGCTCCCGTGCCCTCAGGACCCGCGCCGCGGCTTCGGCATCGCCGTTTCTGGAGGCCGCAACCGCGCCGGCGGATCTGTGCTCGTGTCGGACGTGATTCCCGGAGGCCCCGCCGAGGGCAGGCTCCAGTGAGGCGCGGGCCGCCGCGGGGCGGGCGGGGGGCGGCGCGGGGGACGCACGGCGCCTGGCACCCTCGGCTTGGCCGTCGGGGCCTGGCTTCCCCGGCCCGGTGTCCCCGACGCCTCCTGGTCCCGGAGGCGGGGCAGAGCCCCGGGCAGAGGCGGCCTGGAGAGGACACCCGCAGGGCACCGCACAAAAACCAAATACCTACCGAGACCCGCGCCGGGCGCGCAGCCTGAGCGTCCTCCCTGGCCCTTAGGACCGGGGACCACATCGTCATGGTGAACGGGGTCTCCGTGGAGAACGTCACCTCTGCCTTCGCCATCCAGATTCTGAAGACCTGCGCCAAGACGGCCAACATCGTGAGTGCGCGCAGGGTGGGAACTAAGTCCCGGCCTAAGTCCTGATGCTGCAGGCGGGACTGCACAGACCTCATCAGTGTTTGTTTCCAGCGGTGCTGAGGATGGGGCGCAGGGCAGTGCGGGAGTCTGCGCTGCCCCGACCACGCCCCAGCCCCTCGCTGGGGCAGTCTACAGATCTTTTCTTTCTTCTTTCTTTTTGAGATGCATCTATTTTATGTATATGGGTGTTTTACTGCATGGATATCCCTCTGCACAGCCGAGGAGGTTATGTGACCCATGACACTACAGTCCCCACCTGTGGGTGCTGGGAACCCAAACCGGGTTCTCTGTGCTCCTTTGCCATCTCTCCAGACCCGGATCTTTAATTCTTGATCCCCCTGCCTCAGTCCCTGTGAAGTCCAAGTGACCGGCCGTCCTAGGCAGAGTCGAGGACCTCTGGCTTTGCGCTGGGCCGGGGGTGGTGCCCCTTCTCCTGACCACACGCTGACCACACGCTGACCACACACTGACTTCCCCTGACCACACACTGACCACACGCTGACCACACACTGATCACACACTGACCACACACTGACCACACGCTGACCACACGCTGACCACACACTGACCACACACTGACTTCCCCTGACCACACGCTGACCACACACTGACCACACACTGACTTCCCCTGACCACACTGACCACACGCTGACCACACGCCGACCACACACTGACCACACACTGACCACACACTGACTTCCCCTGACCACACGCTGACCACACACTGACCACACGCCGACCACACGCTGACCACACGCCGACCACACACTGACCACACACTGACCACACACTGACTTCCCCTGACCACACACTGACCACACACTGACCACACGCCGACCACACGCTGACCACACGCCGACCACACACTGACCACACACTGACCACACACTGACTTCCCCTCACCACACGCCGACCACACGCTGACCACACACTGACTTCCTCTGACCACACTGACCACACGCTGACATCTCTCCCCCTTAGACGGTAAAGCGCCCCCGCAGGGTGCAGCTGCCGGCCAAGGCCAGTGCGTCGCCAGACCGCCAGCTCTCAGACCGGGAGGAAGCTGACCATGGCCGTGGCTACGAGGGCGACTCCTCCAGTGGCTCGGGCCGATCTTGGGGCAAGCGTTCTCGAAGGACCAGGGCAGGACGCCGCAGCCGCATGGGCAGCCACGGGCGCTGGGGCTCAGGTGGCGGATCTGAGCCCAACGGACTGGACCTGGTGTCCGGCTACAAGCGCCTGCCGAAGCAAGACGTGCTCCTGAGGCCGCACAAGTCCGTGCTGGTGAAGCGGAGGAACAGCGAAGGTGAGTGGCCTGGAGGCACCCCAAAACAAAAGTCCTCGGGGCTGGGGGCGTGGCCAGCGTGGAGCTCCGCCTAGACTCCCAGTGAGGGGCTGGGGGCGTGGTCAGGGTGGAGCCCCGCCTAGAATCTCCAGTGGGGTTGGGGGCGTGGCCAGGATGGAGCCCAGCCTAGAATCCCCAGCGGGGGTTGGGGGCGTGGCCAGGGTGGAACCTCGCCTAGAATCCCAGTGGGGGGCTAGGGGCGTGGTCAGGGTGGAGCCCCGCCTAGAGTCCCCAGCGGGGGTTGGGGGCGTGGTCAGGGTGGAGCCCCGCCTAGAATCCCCAGCGGGGGTTGGGGGCGTGGTCAGGGTGGAGCCCCGCCTAGAATCCCCAGCGGGGGTTGGGGCGTGGTCAGGGTGGAGCCCCGCCTAGAATCCCCAGCGGGGGTCTGGGGGCGTGGTCAGGGTGGAGCCCGGCTGCTTTGGAGGCTGAAGCAGGGTTACAGGTTACTTGAAAGCCAGCTTAAGGATGTGGGCCTCCCGGCTGGAGTTCCTCTCGCTTTCCCTGCTCTCCCCTCCAGAGTTTGGAGTGAAGCTGGGCAGTCAGATCTTCATAAAACATATCACAGACTCTGGTCTCGCCGCCCGGAACCGCGGGCTGCAGGAAGGAGACCTTATCTTGCAGGTGAGCCCAGGCTTCAGGTGGGGAGACTGAGGCCAAGGCGGGCGGGGCCATGCATGCTCGCAGCTTCAGGAGTTGTTTCCCGTCCTACTGTTTCCACCTGGCCCCTTCAGATCAACGGGGTGTCCAGTGCGAATATGTCCCTGAGCGACACCCGGCGGCTCATTGAGAAGTCGGAGGGGGAGCTGACGCTGCTGGTGCTGAGGGACAGCAGCCAGTTCCTGGTGAACATCCCTCCCGCAGTGAGCGACAGCGACAGCTCCCCTATGGACGGTGAGGGGCCTCAGGGCGGAGTGGGGACTCAGCCCAGGCCTCCGTGAGGCTCCGGGGCCACGGGGTGGCCCCACGGGGACGTGAGTGACCCTCCCCGACGGCTCCTGCCCTGCAGACATCTCAGACCTGACCTCGGAGCTGTCCCAGGCGCCCCCGCCCCACGTCCCTCCACCCCCTCTGCGGGACCAACAGAGCCCTGAGGACAGCCCGGCCGACTCCCCGGCGTGAGTGCAGGGTGGTGGCCACACCTGCGGCTGTGCGCCCGCTCTCTGCCCACATGCAGAGGTGGCCGTGCGTCAGAGGGGGCCCTGCAGATGCACCCCTACTCACTAGACTTTCCTCCCTCCCAGGGAGAGCCCGCGGCGCCGGAGGAGGGAGCAGTCAGGGGCCTCAAGGGCCGTTGCTGAGCCAGGTGAGCTGGGCTCGCCGGGCGGGCGAGGATTTGGGCAACTGTTGGGTGGAGCCCAAACCTAAGGGTCAAAGGCACGGCCAAGCCTCTTATATCTTACAATGGGGGCCTGGGGGCGTGGTCAGATGCGGAGCCCCTCCTGGATACCCCGTGAGGTCCTGGGGGCGTGGTCAGGGTGGAGTCTCCATCAAGAAGCCCCCAGCTATGCGGGCTCTTTTGCTCTGTGTTTCTGGGTTTCTGGAGGAGCGAAGGCTCCCGGTTTCTCGGTTTCTCGTTGTAGACAGTCCTGGAGAAAGCTGCTGTGACATTTACAGGGTCCCCAGCCGGCAGAGCCTGGAGGACCGTGGGTGGGTACCTCAGATGAGCATGTGGTTCCAGAGACCCCACCCTTGGAGCCCATGCAGCCCCAGCTTCCTGCTGGTGAAACGCCAGCGAATATGCTCTGGGCTGTTTGGAGCCCAAGGCCCGCAGGGGCGCGGGAGGCCTTTAGGGGCGCGGGAGGCCCGCAGCGGTGTGGGAGGCTTGTAGGGGTGTAGGGGTGCAGGCACCCTCCGCTACCACGGCCTGACTGCCTTTCTCTCTGCTAGCTACAGCCCCGACACCCGCGTTGTGCGCTTCCCCAAGGGTGCTAGCATCGGCCTGCGCCTGGCCGGTGGCAACGACGTGGGCATCTTTGTGTCCGGGGTGCAGGCGGGCAGCCCAGCCGACGGGCAGGGCATCCAGGAAGGGGACGAGATCTTGCAGGTGACACAGGGACCCGGGGATGTGGCCCTGGGCCCCTGGTGCCCCCTCTCACGCGTCATCCTGGGGCCTCATCCTGTTCGTAGCCCTGGCTGACCTGGAACTCGATACCCCCCCCCCCCCACTTCAGCCTCTTGAATGTGGGGACACGGCCTGCGTCCCACGCCGGGCTCTTCCCAGGGCGCCAAGCATTCAAACTGAGGCCCTCGCGTCTGCACAGCAAACTCTTTCCCTCTGGGCTCTCATGAGCCCTGCAGTTTTTCCTGGTGCTGCCGCGGGGCTGGTCCCCTCAGCACCGCCCGAGGCTTCTGCCTTGGCTGCGTGACTCAGCCTGGCTGCTCCCGGGTCTGGTGACACTCAGCCAAAGGGTGCAGTCTCAGAGGCCAGACACCTTGGGGAGGCCGAGTTTGGGGTGTGACATGCGGTGACTTGGTCACCAGCCGCACCGGCTCACCAGGCCTCTCCTGGCAGGTGAATGGCATGCCGTTCCGGAACTTGACCCGGGAAGAGGCTGTGCAGTTTCTGTTGGAGCTGCCACCGGGGGAGGACATGGAGCTGGTGGCTCAGAGCAAGCAGGACAGTGAGTGTCCCTGAGGCCCCGTGAAAAACAGGCGCCAGGGGCTGGGCCAGCTCGGGGGTGTGGGGACAGGAGCATCCCTGGGGTCTGATGCCGACCTCCGGCCGCCGCTGGCTGGCATGGTGGCACACGCTTCTAATCCCAGCAGAGGCAGGGGTCTCTGCATTCCAGGCCAGCCTGCTCTATAGCTTGAGGTCCAGGACAACCTGTTACACAGAGAAACCCTGTCTCCATTAATAAAAGACCCTACGCTACTGGGTTGTTGAGCCCGACCCCGGGTTCTCCCAGGCGCTACAGGGACAGCGCCCTGTGTCTGCCCCGAGTCGAGCGATGAGCCCCGGAGGAGCTCACGCAGCCCCCTCTCCTCAGTCTTCAGGAAGATGGTCCAGTCCCGCGTGGGTGACTCCTTCTACATCCGCACACACTTCGAGCTGGAACCGAGCCCGCCTTATGGGCTGGGCTTCACCCGGGGCGATGTCTTCCACGTGGTGGACACGTTGTACCCGGGCTCGGGGCTGGGCCACGGTGGCCGTGGGGGCCTCTGGCTGGCAGCCCGCATGGGCAGAGACCTCCAAGAGCAAGAGCGCGGTGTGATCCCCAATCAGAGCAGGTGGGGGCTCCCCGGGGTGAGTCATGGGCAGGGAGTGCTGCAGCCACTGCAATGACTGAGCACAGGCATGGCTCATTCACTCACTCACTCATTCATTCATTCAATTCTGAGGCAGGGTCCCTCCTAGTACCCAACCCATCCCAAGTGCCAGCGTCCAGAGTCCCCATGTCCCTTGGCTTGTGGTCCCATCTTCAGACCCAGCAGCACAGCACGTCCCTCTCCTGCCTCCCCTGAGAACCTTATGGTGTCGCTGGGCCCCCAGTTTGGGTCCCCGGTTTGATTCTGCCCTGTCCGGGAGGCGACAAGTCCCCTGGGTCAGGCCTTGTTCTACTTCTCGTGTCCCCTGGACTCCCCAGGGCGGAGCAGCTGGCCAGCTTGGAGGCTGCACAGCGGGCTGCGGGCGTGGGTCCTGGTGCCTCCTCGGCCTCCAATCCACGGGCCGAGTTCTGGCGACTCAGGGGCCTCCGCCGAGGGGCCAAGAAGACACAACGGAGCCGCGAGGACCTGTCTGCACTGACCAGGCAGGGGCACTACCCGCCCTATGAACGTGTGGTGCTTCGAGAAGGTGAGTGGCCATGAGGTACCCTCTGCAGAGCCTGCCATCCATGGTGGCATGGTGGGTGGCACGAGCCTGTCACCCCAGCCCTCGGGAGGCTGAAGCGGTGGGATTTCTGTGGGCTTGAGGCCAGCGTGGGCTACACAGAGAACCCCGTCTCGAAGTAAATTACTAAAAAGAAAAGTCCTTTTTTTTTTTTTTTTTGGTTTTTCGAGACAGGGTTTCTCTGTGGCTTTGGAGGCTGTCCTGGAACTCATTCTGTACACCAGGCTGGTCTCGAACTTACAGAGATCCGCCTGCCTCTGCCTCCCGAGTGCTGGGATTAGAGGCGTGCGCCACCAACGCCCGGCAGAAAAGTCCTTTTTAATGGTGAATAGACTCAGGTGTGTTTGGCTCTCAGCCCAGCTTCATTCAGTTGGCTGCAGCCCTGGCCTGACAGACAGCAGGCATCTCAATAAAACTTTATTGAAAACATTAAGCCACTAGGCACTGCATGGCCGTAGTCTCAGGCTAGTCTGTTCCATGTCTAATAGTCTCAAATAGGGTCAGAAGCAACACAGAACTTCCTTCTTTTGCCGGCCTTGAACTTGAAGCAGTCCTCCTGCCTCAGCTCCCTGGGCTTCAGGTTTGAGCACCAGGACTCCGGAGCCTGACCGTTCCACTCTCTGCACTTCCCAGCCAGCTTCAAGCGCCCCCGTGGTGATCCTGGGGCCGGTGGCCGACATTGCCATGAAGAGGCTGACAGCAGAGATGCCGGACCAGTTCGAAATTGCGGGTGAGCATGGCACCCTGGCAGCGAGCATGGCACCCTGGCAGCGAGCATGGCACCCTGGCAGCTGGGGGAGGGGCAGGGGCAGGGCAGTGGAGAGGGGTGCCCACCCCACCCCACCCACTGCGCCCAGGCCAGACAGCCTCAATCAGCGTCCGCTCCCCCCTCACCCACCCACGCAGCGGCGGGCGCAGCCCCCGTCAGTCCGAGCTCACATCAACCGCTGCGCTCAATGCCGGCCAGGGTCGGACATTTTCAGTCACTGCGCGCGATCCGTCCGCCCCCGGAAAAGGAGGCAAACACCTTTTCGTTTGCTGAAGAGCTGATCAGTTTTTTCTTTATTTTTATTCTTTATTTTTTGTTTTTCTGAGACAGGGTTTCTCAGTGTAGCCCTGGCTGTCCTGGAACTCGCTCTGTAGACCAGGCTGGCCTCGGACTCACAGAGATCCACCTGCCTCTGCCTCCCGAGTGCTGGGCCCGGCTATTTATACATTTTTGTTTCACTTTTAATCATGTGTGCACACATATGTCGTCCCACCTATGATCCCTGCCGCTTCAAGGCTGAGGCAGGAGGATAACAGAGAACCAGATATGACAGGTTTCAGGGTGCTCAGAGAGGAGGCCCCTGGAGGAGGCTGGGTGGGGCTCAGAGGGCAAAGTCACCTGCCCTCATTAGTCATCAGCAGTGGCTGAGGCTGACTGCGGGTGGATGGGAAGTTGAGCCCAGGCCCAGCTGCACCGGAAGCCTCACGGTGGAATATTACTCACCCCGGAAAAAGGAACGAAGCTCCGCGGAGAGGACCGCAGGGACAGGAAGTGGGAGGGTTGGGAGGGGCTGGAGTCAGTGTGCAGCCGTGGTAGGGGAGAGGCTCCGCTAGGGTCCCGGTGGGGAGGGGACCACCGTGGACGGCGCCTGTGGTGTCTCCCTGCTCCTCAGAAAGCGTGTCCCGGGCCGACAACCCATCCAAGATCATCAAGCTGGACACTGTGCGGGTGATCGCGGAGAGGGTGAGCGCGGGGATGGGGAAACTGAGGCCCTGCATGGGGGTTCCGTGCCTCGCGGCCCGCGCGCGCGCGTCACGCCGCCCGTGACCCCTGCAGGACAGGCACGCGCTGCTGGACGTCACCCCGTCGGCCATCGAGCGCCTCAACTACGTGCAGTACTACCCCATCGTGGTCTTCTGCGCCCCCGAGAGCCGCCCCGCGCTCAAGGCCCTGCGCGAGTGGCTGGCGCCCGCCTCGCGCCGCAGCAGCCGCCGCCTGTACGCGCAGGCGCAGCGGCTGCAGAAGCACAGCGGCCACCTCTTCACAGGTGCGGGGCGGGGGCGGGGGCGGGGGCGGGGCGAGGTCGCGGGGGGGGCGGGGAGGGGCGGGACCGAGATCGCGGGGCGGGGCGACGCGCGGGCCGGGCGGGGGCGGGGCCGAGCCGGGGGCGGGGCCAGGGCTGAGGTCCCGCGTCCTCCTCGCAGCCACTGTGCCCCTGCGCGGAACCGGTGACTCCTGGTACCAGGAGGTGAAGGCCGTGGTGCAGCAGCAGCAGGCGCGGCCCATCTGGACGGCGGAGGACCAGGTGTGGGGGCCGGGGAGCCGGGGGCGGAGCCTGGGTGAGCCCCGTAAGAAGCCGGGCCGTGGCCTCCCAGGGCCCAGGCGGAGGAAGCGCCTCCCGCTCAGGGAAGGAGAGGGCCTGAAGGCCTGGGCTTTGGAGGCTGGGACTCCGTGGGTCGCATAGGAGTTGCTCAGAGTTGAGCCACGGCCAGGCGTCCCGGGGTGCGAGGCTAGACCCTCCCGGGACGCCGGGCGGCGGAGACTGGCGTCCGGGTCGGGCTCAGCACCCTCGTCCCCGCAGCTGGACGGCTCATCCGAGGACCTCGAGCTGCCGGGCCGCAGCCTGGACGCCAGCTCCGGGGACCTGAGCTGCGACAGCCGGGCCAGCAGCGACGGTGAGGACACGGACGGCGTCTACACCGACGGCGTCTACACGGACGGCGAGGGCAGCGGGCCCCAGCACGCGGGCGAGCAGCCCCGACGCCCAGCTCTGGCCCGTTCCTCGGAGCCCGCGAGGGACGGGATCGCCGCCGAGTGGGACTCGCTGGTGCGCACGGCCCCGAGGGGTGGGGACGGGGGACCCCGCCCTCTGCGCATGTCAGCGGGGTCACCGCCCTTCCCTTCCCCGCAGCCCGACAGCCGCCGCCCCCAGGGCCAGTGGCGCCAGGACAGCGTGCGGTAAGCACCGTGAGGGAGGGATGCAGGGCCCGAGATGGCCCCTGGGGCCGCCCCGCCCGCCCCACTCTACCCCGCCCCGCCGCACTCCGCTCCGCCCCGCCCCGCCCCACTCTACCCCGCCCCGCCGCACTCCACTCCGCCCCGCCCCGCCCCACTCTACCCCGCCCCGCCGCACTCCACTCCGCCCCGCTCCGCCCCGCCCCACTCCACCCCGCCCCACTCTACCCCGCCCCGCCCCACTCCACCCCACGCTCCACGTAGTCGGGGCTTAAGAACAGAGTCCCCAGGGATGAAGACTTTTTGAAGGACCGGGCACTGGGGCTGGGGCTTTGAGGGACGTATAGGAGGCAGCTCCCCAGGTCCCACCCAGCTCAGGGCCTGGGCTTGCTAACCCTTGTGCCCGCCCACACTGCCTGGCGTCAGCGCGGGCCTGGTCAGCTGCGCACCCCACAGCACACACCTCCGTCCCCAGGACCTACGAGCGCGAAGCCCTGAGGAAGAAGTTCACGAGAGCCCGGGACGCCGAGTCCTCCGACGACGACGGCTATGACTGGGGCCCAGCCACCGACCTGTGACCGAGGGGTCACAGGGAGAGATCACAGCCACAGAGAGAGGTCACAGGGAGAGGTCGCCGCCCGCCCTCCCTGCAGCCTCGCTTACCCAGGAGGACTCGGGGCCTTTGACCATTTAATAAACCTTTAATTTCTTTAACGTTAGAAAACAATACGAGGCCGAGGATTCTGGGCTCCCCGTCGTGGTGGCGGGGACGAAGGCACGCACGGGCGGGGCGGTCACAGGTACACCGGCTGCTCCTGCCCCGTGAGCAGCCGGTAGGTGGCAGCGGGCATGGTCTTGATGTGAATCTAGGGGTCGGGGTGACAGGGTCAGGGGTGGGGGTCGGGGCGGCGGGGTCAGGGGTCGGGGTCGCCGTGGGGGGCGGGGTCACCTCTTGCGCCTCCGTGAGCAGCTGGATGATGCGCGCGTGGGGCATGGCCACCACGCTCTGCCCGTTGACCTCGATGATGCGGTGCCCCACGCGGACGCCCCCGCGCTCGGCCGCGCCCCCGCGCAGCAGGCTGCAGATCTGGGGGAGACACTGCTCAGGACCTGCCTGTGTGCTGCGCGGTGGCCTCCACCCCGTGCCCAGCCCAGGCCCCGGCTCACGATGCCGTCCTCCACGCAGAAGCCCAGCTGCTCGTGCTGGCGGGGCCGGCGGATGATGGCTGTAGTGACGGGCGGGCAGTGGATGATACTCAGCGTCACCGATGCGTGCCGCCGCGCCTCCTGAGGGACCGGGCCCGCCGAGCTGCTCAGGCCTCAGCCGCGCCTCCGGGCACCGCACACCCCCTCCTGGGCACCGCACACCCCCTCCGGGCACCGCACACCCCCTCCAGGGCACCGCACACCCCCTCCTGGGCACCGCACACCCCCTCCTGGGCACCGCACACCCCCTCCGGGCACCGCACGCCCCCTCCTGGGCATCGCACACCCCCTCCAGGGCACCGCACATCCCCTCCGGGCACCGCACACCCCCTCCAGGGCACCGCACATCCCCTCCGGGCACCGCACACCCCCTCCTGGGCACCGCACATCCCCTCCGGGCACCGCACACCCCCTCCTGGGCATCGCACACCCCCTCCAGGGCACCGCACATCCCCTCCGGGCACCGCACACCCCCTCCAGGGCACCGCACATCCCCTCCGGGCACCGCACATCCCCTCCTGGGCACCGCACACCCCCTCCTGGGCACCGCACACCCCCTCCTGGGCACCGCACACCCCCTCCTGGGCACCGCACATCCCCTCCTGGGCACCGCACACCCCCTCCAGGGCACCACACACCCCCTCCTGGGCACCGCACACCCCCTCCTGGGCACCGCACACCCCCTCCGGGCACCGCACGCCCTCTCCAGGGCACCGCACACCCCCTCCGGGCACCGCACACCCCCTCCTGGGACCCCCTCCAGGGCACCGCACACCCCCTCCTGGGCATCGCACACCCCCTCCGGGCACCGCACACCCCCTCCTGGGCATCGCACACCCCCTCCAGGGCACCGCACATCCCCTCCGGGCACCGCACACCCCCTCCAGGGCACCGCACATCCCCTCCGGGCACCGCACACCCCCTCCGGGCACCGCACACACACACCCCGGGCCGGCCCGGTCCCCACGGAGCCCCGACTCACGCGCACAGCGGCCTGGCAGGCGTCGAGGGGCAGCCCCACCAGGCTGGTCCCGTTGATGGCGGTAACGCGGTCCCCGATGCTGAGGGCTCCGGAGCGCTCGGCAGGGCCCCCGTGGAGCAGGTTGGCGATGACGGCGGTGGGCAGCAGCGAGCCCCAGCCCGACTCCACCAGGGCAACGCCCAGGCCCTCGCCAGGCCGCTTCTGGATGCAGACCTGGGGGCGGGGCTCAGTGAGGGGCGGGCTGCGCCCAGGGGGAGCAGGGGTGGAGCCTCGTCGGGGTGGGGCCCAGGCGGAGGCCGCGCTCAGCGAGTACTCTAGCAGACAGGGAGGCGTGCGGGGGCGGGGCACCGGCGGGGCCTCGGTGGGGTCGGTTCCGGCAGGGCTGTGCCTGGGCGGAGCCCCCTCGCTCACCTCCCTGCAGTTCTGGCTGTTGCAGAAGTGGTCCAGGTCTCCGTTGTGCGGGTGGCTGGCGGCCGAGGGCTGCGTGCCCACTTGGCTGGGGTCGATCCCGTTCTCCTGCAGGAACTGGATGTAGGCGATGCTGAAGGCCTGGCCGATGGCCTGTGCAATGAGCTGGGCCTGTGGGGACAGCAAGCTCCTTCACATCCCACAGAGCCCTGGTTCCAAGGCCCACACCTCCAAGAAACCTCAAGGTTTCTGAGTCAGACTCAGAAGGGGGCAGGGCTCACATCCTCTGAGTGGAAGACATGGCACAGCATTTTGTAGAGACGCTGCTTGTGGTCCTGGGGCGTGGTCCTCCTAGCCAGCCGTCTCCGAGCCATCACAACCAGCACAGGCCCAATGTCCGCGATGTAGGAGATGGTCTGCAGGGCGTGGTCCATCAGGGCATCCTGTGGGCACGCGCTGGGTGGGCTAGGGGGCCTCTTGGGGACCCCGAGTGTCCACAACAGCCAAGGCCTGGCCCTCCAGGTACCTGGGAGTCCGCGGCTAGCACCTTGATCCTCTTGGTGGAGATAAAGATGTCCACCTCCACCATGGGCTGAGTCTCACCCTCGGGGGCCTGCGGGGGAGGAGGGGAGGGGGACACAGCGGCTCGGAGCTGTCCACGACGCTGTGCCTTGCAGAACCGGGAACACCGTCCTGGCTCACCTTGACGCGGTCCATGGCCTCCTGTGCCTGCGCCATGCGCATGCTGGGCGGCGGGCTGCGCTCTGACAGCAACTGGGTGGAGCCCAGGTATTTCGCCGTGAAAATGACACCGTCCACGAGCTCCTCATGGCCACAGGGACCTGGAACTGTGAGTGACAGCGAGAGGTCGGCCAGGCCCATCCATCACAGGGTCCCAAGGGCTCTGGGAGGCGGCAAATTCTGAGCTGTTGCTCAAGAAACTCACGGCTCTGTCCCAGGGCTTAGCACAGACTAGACCCGCCCGCCGTGCTCCATCACCTGTTCTAGAAGAATCCACAGGGTTTGGGACTCAGTGTACGGTCACCAGCTGTATATGCCACTGCCAGAACTCCTGTGAAGTTTCACCCTCAGGGGGACCCAGGGCTCACGGACCACTCTTCTAGAACCTTCTGAACGGGCTGGAAGCTCATGGCCTTACTGTGGTGTCTCAAACCCCTAACATACCAGAATCCAGCAGGGGCCAACAAGAGGGCTCAGTGGGTAAAGGTGCTTGCGGCCAAGCCTGATGACCTGAGTTTGATCCCTGGGACCCCACAGGGTGGGGGAGAACCAACTCCCACAAGGTGTCCTCTAACCCCCTTCCCTGCCACATTCAATAAATAAATGCAAAAAAAGAAAGAAAGAAAAAGAAGAGGATCCAGGCCATTTCCATAGTGACCCAGAATTCTCTCCAGTCAGCCAGGGAGTAGAGTTTCAATTCTGCCCAGGATTCTAGAACCTGTCCCCCCTCATCTCAATGCAGCTGGCCTCTTCACTTTTCTGTCCTGTGCTGTGGGGCTCAGGCTGCTACGGAACCTGCCATCCTCCTGCTTCAACACCCCCTGCTATCACACCCAGCGGCTATATTGCGACTTCCAGGTACCCCAAAGCTGACAGCGGGGGCTCTAATTTTCCTTCTGTGGTTCTAGAACATTCAGGCCTAAGCAATCCCAGGCAAATTAACTGTGATTCTAGAACCTTCTGTGACACAGGGCCACATGGGCTCCCCTCATCCCCACAGCCTTCAGGGAGGGATCGGGGTACCCAGGACTCTTCAGTGTCCACCTCCAGAGCACGGGAACCACAGGCTGCCACCTCCCTGGCTCCTTGAGCAGGTGACAGGGATTCAAACCCAGGTCCTTGCGCTTGAGTACTGTGCCCACTGAGATGTCTCCCCAGCCCTCAAAAATTTGCATGAAACTGTAAATGCCTAGTTGGGTGTTGGTGGCACACACACACCTTTAATCCCAACACTTGGGAGGCAGAGGCAGGAGGATCTCTGATTTCAAGACCAGCAAGTTCCAGGAAAATCAAGGTTACACAGAAAAACCCTCTCTCAAAACAAAACAAAACCCTGTAAATGCCATCTTTAGGTGACAAGACCCCCGCCTCCCCTCCGCCGCAGACTGGTGCTGGCCTTTACTGTGGACAGCCCTCTGCCAACCTGTGCTGTAAACCCCATGTGGCTTCTAGGGAATTCTCCAGTTTGCATGGCCTCTCTGGCCATCTAGGATCTGCTCCAACGCAAGCATCCTCTTTAGAACTCGTTACTTGCAAACGCTGTGTGTCAAAAAACCATTCTGGTCCCGTGAGAGAATGGACACTCACCCTCAGAGACGGCAGGGCATGAGGCGAGGGTCTCGGGGCTCTGGAAGACAGAAGAGGGACAGGGCTGAGTCCCCAGGCCCGCTGCACGCAGGGGTCCGACGTCGGGCAGGGTTACCTGAGAACTTGCAGATGACTCCGGCTGGGTCACCAGCGGTGCGGTCTCCAGCCAGGGCTCCGGGGAGCTGCTGGAACTCCTGCTGTCTGCTGGCTCCCCCGACAACGTCCCCTCCATCCACCCTGGCAAGCCCCGGTCCCCATCAGGGTCCTCGGGTGGCTGCAGCAAGCGGGGTGCAGTCTGGGGGGGGTCCGCAGGCCCTGGCTGAGCAGGCGAAGTCGACTCAAACCTCAGCAGACCCAGAAAGTCTTCCCTGCCCGCCTCAGCAGACAGGAGCCCTCCGGCGTCCACACTCTCCGGGGCGGTCAGGCCTTGGCCGGTGGCGATGTGCAGGGGACAGGGCTCTCCTTCTGGGAACGGGCCACCCAGGTCACCGGGAAGGGCTTCCAGCTGCTGGACCAGTTCCTGCACACCGGAGGCGCCCAGCTCCATGGCATTCGGCGTGACGGGCCCCCCGGGCCCCGAGGCCCACTGGGTGCTCGAGGGCTGTCCATCAGAGCGCAGCGCGGGGCTTTTGGGCTCCTTCAAGTCCATGGCTGGGGACCCTGGTGGGTGCCGGGGATCTGACAGGAACTCCATGCCCAGGACCCTGGTTCAGGCTGGCATCGTCCCCAGGCCGCAGGACAAGGGCTGCGGGTGCAGATCTCCCAGGCAAACCACGGTGGTAGAAGTGACAGGCTCAGTCCCCATGGGGCCTGCACGGGAGGAAAAGTCCCCGTTTTACACAGGACCCAACCGAGAACCAAGGCTCCGGAATCGGAACTCGGACTCCGGCCCCAGAACTCAGGCGCCGGTTTCGGCTCGCCCCGCGGGAGCCGTCCTGTCCCGCGCAGGCCGCAGTACCTGTGCCTCAGGCCCGGGCCAAGACGGTCAAGTCCGTCTGTCCTTCCAGGAGACTCAGCAGCTCCCAGCGCTCCCAGCTTTGGATCCGGATCGGCAGGCTGTGCCCCTCCTAGGACTATTGCGCATGCGCCCTTCCGATGCCTGCTGGGAAATGTAGTTCCCTCAGTCGCTCTGGCCATACCGGGTGCTCTAGGGTTGCAGCGTGGATATCAGAACATAGGTTCGAATCCCGAGACTCCAAGCACGGAGAGGAGGCCCAAAGTGACTTTTCTATTCTAAAACTGGGGTTCAGATAACTTCCAGATGCAAACAGCTGCGGTGGGACGCGGGAAGACACCAGACAGGAATATAGAAACGGGAATGTGACTTGAAGAGTTGGGGGGGAAAGCATGGGTGTGGGCAGACGCCGGTGAGGACAGACTTCGGGTTGGGTCCCAGGAGGCATATATTTCAGCGTAATCTAGATATTTTTGTTTGTTTGTTCGAGACAGGGTTTCGCTGTGGCTTTGGAGGCTGTCCTGGAACTCGCTCTGTAGACCAGGCTGGCCTCGAACTCACAGAGCTCCGCCTGCCTCTGCCTCCCGAGTGCTGGGGTTAAAGGCTGCGCCACTCCGCCCGGCACAGGCTAGACTGGGGTGGACACAGACCGCACATCACGGCCCCCAGCAGCAGTCCTAAGCTTAGCGGAAGGACGGCAGCCGTTGCGGTTGTAGTAATGAGTCTGCCGGGTGCGGGGAGACCCAGGTGTGCTGGAGACAACGTCGCCTAGGCTGGCCTCGAACTCCTGATCCTCCTGCCTCAGCCCCGATGCCGCCAGCCTTGATCGCCGCGGGGCTGGCAATGGGCCCAGGACTTCTGAGCACCAGCCGCCACCCCACTTTCCGCCTCCATTACAGCCCAGGCTGGCCCAGAACTCGCTACGCAGCCCAGGCTGGCCTAGAGCTCACAGGGATCCTCCCGCCGCCGCCTCCCGGGTGCTGGGACTAAGGGGAGCTCACCGCCCCCAGCCAGGCTGACCTCAAACCCGATAGACAGCAGAGAGAGCCGACCCTGACATTTTACGGTGATAAGGATCTGAGAACGAGAATTGCTTGAAATGGTCTTTGAACGGGTGAGAACTACGCGAGTTCAACCTAGGCGCGGGGCTGCAAAGACTACATTTCCCAGCAGGCTGCGGGCGCCTCCAACGCCCTAAGGCGGCCCTGGAGCGCTGACGTAGCACGGAAGCTTGCACGTGCGAGCCGGCGAGCATTATGGCGGCCACCCGTCTCCTTGGGGCTTCTCGGATGTGGACCTACTGTCAGCGCCGGGCTCTCCCGGTTCCCGGAGGACCTGGAAGACCCTTTGTCAGGGACTACGCCAAGAAGCCAGGTGAGGCGGCTCCGGAGGAACCAACGCGGGCACGGTGGGAAGCCGAGAGAGGCCGTAGTGCTCAGGCGCGAAGCCTGGGGAGGCGGGGCTCCGGGAACTACGGCGCGCCGCACGGAGGCCGAGCGGGGCGAGCGAGCACTGAGGCCGCAGTGCGCAGGCGCGGGGAGTAAGACGCCAAACACCGCCGCAACGATTGTTGCTGCTGTTGCTACTGTTTTAATTAAAAAGAAATAATGTGGGTGGGGAAGATGGCTCAGTGTGTGAAGCGCTTTCCGCTGGTCTACAGAGCGAGTTCCAGGACAGCCAGGGCTACACAGAGAAACCGCGTCTGTCAGTCTGTCAGTCTATCTATCTATCTATCTAGATATTTATTTTTGTTTTCCAGACAGGGTTTCTCTGTGTAGCCCTGGCTGTCCTGGAACTGGCTCTGTAGACCAGGCTGGTCTCGAACTCACAGAGATCCGCCTGCCTCTGCCTCCCGAGTGCTGGGGTTAAAGGCTGCGCCACCAACGCCCGGCTGAAACCCTGTCTTGAAAAAGAAAAGTTTTCTTTTTTGATGTTGTCCAGGAGAGCTGCGTGGTGACATCCTGTCTCAAGACTAAAGCCGTTGTTTGCATTTTGGCACAGGGTGCCGTGTATGCCGGGCCGGCCTACACTGAGCCGTCTCTAGTCTCAGTGTTTTATTGTTTTGAGACCGGGTCTTATAATCCCCAGCCTCAGGTCCATGGTTCTGGGGTGACAGGGGCCATTGCTGAATGGGAGAGGGGCTCTGCGGCGCGCGCCTGGCTTTTAGATCACACAGCCTTGGGGCAGAGAGGTGCCCCGTGTGGGTGCCTGGGGTTCTCGGCACCAGGAGGCCTCATGGACGGCACAGGGGCAGCGCTGGGCCGCGTGAAGTGACCCAGATTCTCACCCTGCAGTCAGCAAGGGCAGCAAGGGCAGCATGGCCACTGAGGCCCTGAAGGACCCCGAGGTGTGCACAGACCCCGCCCGGCTAACCACACACGCCATGGGGGTCAACATCTACAAGGAAGGCCAGGACGTGGCCCTGAAGCCAGACTCGGAGTACCCCGAGTGGTGAGTCCCACCCTAACCACCTGGCCACCTGGCCTCCAGGTACACAGCACTCAGGGGCAGCTCTGGGCCACCCCAGGGCCCACCGGTCCCGCCTGCCCTGGTCCGGGAATCTTCTGAATGTCAACCTTGGTGTTCCTTCTTGCAAATGGGGACCCCGTGCACAGGGCCATGTGTCCCTGAGGGTGGAGCGGGCAGGCAAAGATTTATGGCTGATACCTGGCTATCCACACCTGGGTCCCAGGGAAGCAGAGTTCTCCTTCCTGGAGCCAGCTGGGGCCCAGGCAGCTAGCTGAGCAGGCAGGCATGGGGACACACTCCAGGACATTGGGAGAAGCAGGGACAGCGGGGAGACAGTTTGGGTCTCCACTGGGGGCTGGGCCAAGTGGGTGAAGGTGTGGCCTGTGCACAGGTCCTGGGGCAGACAGAGCCTGGTCTGCGGGGGCAGGGAGGAAGCCTGAGGCTGGATGTGAGGACCAGAGGGGGCAGGGTTCAAAGCCCACAGCACCCACACCCCAGTGCTGTGGTCATGTAGTGACGACTCTCCCCCCAGGCTATTCCAGATGAACCTGGGTCCCCCCAAAAAGCTGGAGGAGCTGGAGCCCGAATCCCGAGAGTACTGGCGACTGTTGCGCAAACAGAACATCTGGCGTCACAACCGGCTGAGCAAGAACAAGAAGCTGTAGTTCAGGGATGGAGCCTCTCACGGGAAGCTGCCCCTCGCGGGCCAGCACAGGGCTCAGCGGGGAAAGGGGCTTGCCACCCAGCTCAAGACCTGAGTCCAGTCCCCAGAGCTGGAGCACGGTGGAAGGGGGGAGCCGACTCTGTCAGGTGTCCTCCAGCCTCCCATGTACACCTTTGCGAGTGCCAGCCGTACGCATGGACGCACACTAAATGAACAAACGTGAAAATAAACGTGAAAAAGGCAGCAGGCAGCGGGCTCATTGCTGCCCCGGGGTCACCTGGGAGCATGCTGGGCGCCTGGACATGGCACACCCTGACTGCTCCGCAGCTGGCTGTGGCCTCGCGCCTGGACACGGCACACCCTGACTGCTCCGCAGCTGGCTGTGGCCTCGCGCCTGGACACGGCACACCCTGACTGCTCCGCAGCTGGCTGTGGCCTCGAGCCTGGACATGGCACACCCTGACTGCTCCGCAGCTGGCTGTGGCCTCTTCCTAGGGTGTGGCATCATCTCCAGACCTTGATGGGCGAGTGGGCCAGTCCTGGCTTCAGCTAAGACTAAATCCAAGGGCTCCAACTAAGGTCTGAGGCTCTACCTGGTCTGGGTGGTGCTTGTGCAAAGGGGGTGACGTCGGCCTCCCACGAGCTGCATAACCCTGCTCACCGAAGGCACAGGACAGACTGCCTTTCCCTTGCGTCTGGGTAAGGGTGTAGCTCCCTTGTCCCTCATTGGACCCCAGGGCCCCACCTGTCTTTGCCGATTAGGTCATGAGCCAGCCTGACCCGGGTGGGTACCCCAAGCCCCTCCTGCCTCCCCTATGGCCACCTGAGCCGAGAGAAGGGGTGGGATTGTGGTACTTGGAAAGTCCCCGGACAGGACAGTGCAGCGGGCCATGTCAACACCAAGACAACAGGGAAACGTCCCTCTCCAGGCTTGTGGGGCCCATTGCGTTGTCTTCGTGTCCTGTGCCTCACTGGAGGGATTTCAGGCCCTGCGATGCCTGGCAGGGAGAGGGACAGGCCACAGCCGTCATACTCCACATAGCTTGTGGCTGCATGCGGCTCTGGGCCCTCAGCCACGGCTGCACGGCCTCCACCACTGGGGACACAGCCTGGCGGGGACTTTCACATAGGCTGTGCCCTCTGCCGCCGCTGCCTCCCACAGTCGGGGTTTGCCATGGTGTTGACATAGCAACTGTGCCACAGTGAGCACCGCCCAGCTCCCCTGTAGTCCTCGAGCTGCATGAAGGTTACTGAGTTCACGAGAAATCGCGTCTTCACTGCGTACTCCCAACGCCCAGTGTGGCCATAGATGATGGGTCGATGGGGGGGGCGGGTGGGTTCGTGGTTTTGTGAGTGATCTAAGGGTTGAGTAGGTGAACAGTGGGGCAGGTGGCTGGGTGTGGCTGGCCGGATGAGAGGGAGAGCAGGCGGACGGGAGTCTGCATGGGGGCTGGGTCAGTGATGGGGTGTGAGCTGTCTGCTTTTCTCTGCTGTCACAGCCTTTGACGCCCAGCTTGTCTCTGCTTTGGGGCCTGGGACTCCATGGAAGAGAAGCACCTTAGCCTTGCACCCAGAGATGTCTGGGTCCCCCTCTCAGGTCTCTGTTCCTCATGTGCCCTTGCACACCCCGAGATGGCATGTGATCTGAGCACCCCAGGCTAGCGCCCCTCATGCATGGGGCGACCTGTTGCCTCGCTTTCGCTTTCGTAAGGGACACAGGGGCTCCGGCTCCCCAGCAGGTGGCACACGAGGGGACGAGGGAAGCAGGGCCCGGGTGCTGATGACAAGTGGGTCCCCGCGGCTGTTAAGTGTGTGGGCAGGGACTTTGGGCAACACCACAGGCATCAATAATCACATGGACTTCAAGGACCCAACGCAGGGAGCTGGCTGTGCCCAGAGCAGTGGTGGCGGACACACGGGCATCACAGACACACAGACGTACGCAGTCCTTCCGATTGCTCTTTATGGGGTGTCCTGGATGTGGGGGCCCAGGGGCTGCGGAGCCTGTGTGCTGGCCAGTCCTAGCCCTACAGCCCTGCATCTGTGTCCTCCTGCTCCCTGCTGCAGGGGTCAGGGTTCCTGGCTCCGTGGCAGAGCTGAGCCCTCCGCTTCCTGTCCCCCAAGGGGGGCTGTGGCACCCGCACTGCGGAGCTCGCGGCCCAGCTTCTCCGCTATTTTTCGGAAGGGAGGTCTGCGTGCAGGTTCTGCCTCCCAGCAACTACCCATGAGGGTGTGCACGGGGCCGGGGCAGCCGTCAGGGGGCTCCATGCGGTAGCCCTTCTCCACAGCCTCTGAAACCTCCTTCAGCGACTGCAGACACAGGGCATGTAGCGTGGGTGGGGGGGTCAGCAGCACAGGGTGCACAGGCTGCCCCTCCCCAGGGGACGGCTCACCATCTTGGGGTACGGAGCTCTTCCATATGAGAAAACTTCCCACAGCAGCACCCCAAAACTCCAGACGTCTGATTTGCTGGAAAACCGCTGTGGGGACGGAAGTCAGGGTGATCAGGTTCACTGTGGCCTCCCTGGACACAGTCCCAGGCTGCTCTTCCCCATCCATGCTAAGCCCATGGACGCTTGCGAGATGGGGAATCAGAGCTGAGGGGGGCTCCGGGGGAATGCTGTGGGCGCTGGCTCACTGGAGAGGCGGCTATTTTCCCTCGAAGCTCAGAGAGGTCAAGGGATGTGAGTGGAGTCACACAGCACAATCGCAACATCAAACCCCCTTTGAGGACCCCCAAAACCCCAGAGAGGAGCGGGACACTGCTCACCCCATTCTTGAGAGCTTCGGGTGCCGACCACTTGACTGGCAGCCGGCTTGAGTCCAGCCCCTTCCGCTCGGCCTTCGCTAGGCCAAAGTCACTGACCTTGGCCACCAGGTCCTCAGAGACCAGGATGTTGCGAGCAGCCAGGTCCCGGTGCACCAGCTTCTTGCTCTCCAGATACTCCATGCCCTCAGCAACGTGTCTGGGGATAGGCAAGGCCCGGTCGCCCTGCAGTCAGACCTCAGTTTCCCCTTCCACTTTGGGACCTACCTTCCTGGAAGGAATGTCACTTACAGAGAAAACTGCAGGAGCTGAGGTGCGCTCACGAGCGCGCGGCCCCGCGTGCGCAGGAAGTTCACCAGGTTGCCCTGTTTGGGGGGGAGGGGCCTGGGGGTCTCAAGGCTGTCGAGCCTCCCTTGGCCCATCCGCCCGCCCCCACCTTGCTCCCGCCCCCCCACACCTTGCTCACGGCCCCCCCGCCCCCCCACACCTTGCTCACGTGCTCCATGACAATGTACAGGCCATGATGCAGGATCACGCCCAGGAGTCGCACCAGGTTCCTGTGCTGCAGCTTCCTGGGAGAGTGCGGTGGGGTGCAGGGCGGGAAGTGAGTACACACCTGGGACCCCAGCCCAGGGACCCGCCCCGCCCCGCCACTCACGTCATTACTGCTGTCTCATCCAGGAAGGCCTGGGCTGTCACGTCACACTTGATATTCTTCACGGCCACTTTCTGCCCCAGGTACTCACCCTGCAGGACGGCTGTGGGGACGGAGAGAGCTCAGGACCCACCAGCAAGACAGACCTACAAATGGACCTGCTGACATCCCTGCCTAGAATCCCCCAGTGAGGGGCTGGGGTGTGGTCTGGGTAGAGTATTGGCTCTGACTTCAGGAGGCCTAGCTCCATCCCTGGTCCCAAAGAGAGAGATAAATAATGCAAATACAATGGCTATCTCATTATTCAGAATTCAAATTTCTGTTCCATGAAAAAGCCCACCGGTCCTGCCCATGTTTGCATAGTTTCCAGCTGCTCGGGATGGACAAGGCTGCGTACTGACTCGGGCAGTTCACCACCCTCTGATCTCAGTCCCGGGTGGATTCCAGGGAGGCATTCTGAGCAGATCCTGGGAGGGTCCTGGGCGGTGAGGGGGGGCTGCTGTCCTGCACCGCCCAGCCCAGAGAGACAGCACTGCATTCTGTGGCCTCCTCACCTCCAAACTCCCCCTCTCCAATCTGTGCTCCCAGAGTGAGGTGCTGCAGGTCGAGTAGCCAGCCAGCTGCAGGGACAGAGCCCGGGTCAGAGCAGGACAGGAGCCTCCCTGCCGGCTCACACGCAGTGAGGTGTGGAAAGCCAGCATCCTCACAGCTTGCATGCCTGTGCCCGTGCCCACCCCCCAGCAGTTGCCCCAAGGGTTATGAGGTAGACACAATCCTGCCAGCTGCAGGCTGTCCCAGGAGATCATCAGAGCTCAATCCCACCGGGTTCCCCAGACTTCAGTTGTGGCCTCAGGACCTCCCTCTATGGACAGGGACTGTGACTGCTCTGTGCCCCTCCAAGCCTGGTCTTCCCATTACTGATCTCCCCAGGATACATGCAGATCAAGAGGTACAGAAACATGGAGACGCACAAGTTCTGGAATATTCCCGATCTTGTCTGTGGCAGACTTTTTTTTTTTTTTTTTTTTTTTTTGGTTTTTCGAGACAGGGTTTCTCTGTGGCTTTGGAGGCTGTCCTGGAACTCGCTTGGTAGTCCAGGCTGGTCTCGAACTTACAGAGATCTGCCTGCCTCTGCCTCCCAAGTGCTGGGATTAAAGGCATGCGCCACCAACGCCTGGTGTGTGGCAGACTTGCCTGCTGGGCAAACCCTGCAGCTGCTTCTGAAAGCCCCCCCTTTTCCCCCAGAGCCCTCTAACTCCAGGCTCTGAAGAGTCAAGCAGGACAGACACCATCATGGGCTTGTCTCTGGGGCTCCAGACAGATGCCGATTTGGCTTGGAAGACTCAGGGGCTTAACCTAGACAAGGCTGGGGTGGGAGGCGGGAGAGGCTGAGTCTGGGCAGCTGTGTATGAGATGATCTGTGCTTGGTGGCTGGCGTACCCTTTGCAAGCTCCTCCTCGGCCGACTTGGTGCCCTGCTTCCTCTTTGGCTTCACCAGCTTGGTGCAGATGGCACCCTTGTCCTTGGTGTAATGCTGTGAGGACCAGGAGTGATGAGCCTCTGGCTCCAGGGACCCCTGTTCCCTGCCCCTCTCCCTACAATCCACTTAGTGGGGTAGGCAGAATCCCTCAGGTACCAGGCCAAGATAGATGAGTGCGTTTCCATGGCAACAGTGGGAGTGTAGAATGGAGGGTGAGGGGCTCCCTGGAGAAATGACCCCAGTTCTAGAAACAAGTGAGGCTCCTGGGGACCCCTCCACCCCCGCTGCCCCAGCCACAGGTCACCTCCACCATGTCCATCAGATTACAGAAGCACACGGCC